CTCTTGCCTCCGCCCTCTGATTTTCCTTTGCCCTTGTCTTTGCCCTTCTCGTGTTTGCCCTTCTCGTGTTTGCCCTTGCTCTTGCCCTTCTGCTCTTTTCCTTTTGACTTGCCCTTGTCTTTTCCTTTCTGCTGAAGACGATCCACCTCCATCGGCATAGGACCCTGGTCTGCACCTGAAGACATAGGGCTCGAGAATGACAATGCACCTGCATGCTTCGTTCCATTTCGTATTGGCATTGTCGAAGGCAATGATGGCCTTTCGAATTTGGGCGTAGGTGGATCCTTCGTTGAGGGCAAGATTCAAATGAACTTTCATCTGACCTCCCACCGAGCGCAACAGGATGGCCGCTTTCATGTCCGGGCTCAGCTTACCTCCCAGCTTCTCGTACTGGTAGTAGTGCTCTTCCAGCTTCAAAATCTGGGGCAGCAAGGAAGTCCGCATGTTGAAGCTCGGGTAGGCCATGATGCCTTGGAGCAAACTCAAAGTCCTGTTCCTGGCATTCGGCTGGCAGTTGCTCAGGAGTTGACGCAAGGCTTCATAGCCGTTGAACTGCTCCACATTTCGAATCAGGCCCATCAGCCTGCCCTGAACCAAGCTACCCAGGAGGCTGTAGAGGAAGCGTCCACGTTGTTGCTCAGGTTCTGACAGCAAATCCCAGTCCACCTCGGTGTTGAGGTTGTTCTCAATCCTTTCAACTTCTTCCTGGTAGGATCCATCCACCACCAGGAGGTACTGTTTGAATCCCCAGAACCAGTCTCTCCATTGCAACACCTCCTGCTCCCTGTCGATGGGACTGAAGCTGTTCGGACGGGGTATGAGCTTTGCCAAGTCTCGTTTCGAGCTTCCTGAAGATGAGCCTTCTCCTCCTCCTTGGGCTTGAGCTGCATTCACACTTGCAGCCGCTTGTGCAGCTTGAGTGGCTGACTGTGCAGCCTGGATCAACGCCTGGGTCAACTCGACCGCCGCTCCTCCAGCCAAGCCAGGATCAGAGCCATCCATTTGTCACCTTTCTCCTCTCCAAGGGCGTCCTCAAAGAAGATGAGATAGGGCCGTCAGGTGATCCTCAGTCAACCTGTTATACTCAAGGATGTGGGCAAAGGGGTACCTCAAGGTGCTTCGATCTCCAGGTTCAAGTAGCCTCACGCACCGAGGGCGAGCAACCTGCCACACTAGTTCTATGAACAGGCACGGTCGCAGCAAAGACGGGGGCGCGAAGGGATCTTTGGGTCCTGTCCCTGAATCCGCCGCTGGAGCTCACAGGAGATGCAAAGCAAATCCTGATCCCGGCTCCGCTACCATGCGAGCGGATGTTTGACGCTGAAGGGGTCTGCGGGTAAAGGTTGAATGGCTTTTGTTTGCCAATTTATAATATACCCTCCTGATGTACATCTGCTTGAAACGTTTGCCACATTTGCTGCTTCTGTGCAAATTGCCCGTGAAGGTGAGCTCAGTTTCCCACCACAACTGCTCGTGCGGCAGCCAAAGAGGTAGAGCAAGCGTTTCTGGTGATCTCCATAGCCCGCAGAAATCTGGACAAAGAGAACCTGGTCAAAATGGATCTGGATCCCACCCCTACGATGTCTGTTCCCCCCAGTCCAACTAGATCCTCCACTGTCACGTGTTGTGCATTGAAAGTCTCTCTATTGAGTGCTTGAATTGTGCGCTTTACTAAGCAGTCTGCAAGATTCTCACCGCAAACGCCGCATGTGAGGAAGTCTTTCCTGCCACTGTCGATTTCATGAGACAAAAGTATGCGATTTAAATTCATTGACGAAATGGAGTATTTGTTTCCCGTTCATATGTGCTCCTCCTAACACATCAATACTCTAAGTCGCAAAAACGTAAAACGGGCGATGCTCCAAACACCAGACACATCATTGATTGTCAACGATCCACAAAGTATCACAAAACCCCTCGCTGTGCTGGCCTGTGGACGAGAGACTCTGGGGAAGGCTCCACACTCCAAACAGCGGCACCTCAGCCCAAGTGGATTACACCCTGTTCTCAACACAAAGTAGTGACATTCACGATAAAGCAGAACATACCGAACGTCAAAGACATCAACATAAATCTTGTGGAAAAGTTCATGTGACAGCGCTTGTTCTGGCACCTCCGAATCGACTTGATCGAATATCCAACGCAGCCTCCTCAGTCAACAGCGTCCGAAGTTCATCTATCCTTGAGCCCTTGAGGACCTGATTTCCCAAACTCGTTGTCTCGGTCTTAAGAGTAGGCTGCGAAGCGATTCCAAGGCGTTAGGGGGCCACGCAGATCAGTAAGTTCAGAACGAGCTTCAGATCAGTGAGGTGCAGATCAGGTAGGTGTCATTTATATTAATGTTTGCCTCAATAGTTCTTGTCTCTAAAGCAGAAAACGTAAAATACGTACTCAACAAAAGCACTTAAAAAATCAAGGCGTTTTGGGTGTCACAAAAGGGACAAGTCTCCACCATGGGACCGTCTTTACTTCCGACAGAACCACCGAAAGACCGTAAAGGCATGGGAAGGGGCAGATTTTTGGGCGCCCTGATCCCACATGGTCTGGCAACGTGCGCCAAGTGTCATTTTTCTCGGCCGCAAAATCTCAATCACGAGGTCCCACCACCAGACTTCAGGAAATCCTCCGAGGGCACACGGCCCTCTCCTTACTTGAAAAATCCTGCAGAGAAAAGTCATGGGAGGAAATGAAGGTTCCAAAGCCCACCCCTCGCCCTTGCGTGGCTTCTAGCAATGGGACAGGTGCGCCGCTGCGCCGCCAAAGTCTCGAGTGGCCAGGTCCCAAATCAGAATGCCCGGAGTTCCGAGGCAATCCCAGCACTTTCCCTTCCTTAAAAAAAATGGAAGACAGACGCGGAAGAGTTGGTAAGATCGCCCGGCCACCACGGCCCGTGCTAACTTGGGCCTCCTAATCAAAAAGCGCCTACGCCTGGTGTCATAATGGCCCATCAAATGGTCAACCTTGTAACTTTAAGATTGCAGTTGTTACAACTCCACGGCAAAGATCCTCTTGTTGAGGAAGGGGTACCTTGACAAAGAGAGCTTCCTTTTGGCCCAGTGCTCGAGGAAGCCATGGGCCAGTTGGTCACCAACCCCAACAAGGAGGTCGCCCCCGAAGGGTGTCCTAATTTTTGTGTGGCAGGGGGTGGCGCCCACACGACCTCTACCCCGGCCGGGGCCCGGGGGGGGGCGGGCAAGGCTACTACTACTTCCTCGCAGCACAGAACCCTTCTTACAACCCCTCGTAGCGCGGAATCCTTCTCAAATGCCTCGTAAAGCAAGAACAGTAGCGGTTAGTGTCTGAACACTAAAACAATTACAGCGCAGCCCCCCCCAACCCCCCCCGCACCACGAAATCTGCACCTCATCTCATTCCCTGCGCCTGCCACTCATTTGCGCTGGAAATCTGCACTGCGTACGTGACCGCCACACAAGCCGACGTCCGACAAGCTCGGTATGTAGCAGAATGGGGGGTGGCCACGACTACTACTATAGTTTTCCCAGTTCGGGGGGCGGGGGGATTTTTTCAGTTCGAGGGGGGGGCCATGACTACTACTACTTCCTCGTAGCACAGGATCCTTCTTTAAGACCTGTAAGAACGGTTCGAGGAGGGGGGGGCACGACTACTACTACTTTTCCCAGTTCGAGGGGGGCCACGACTACTACTACTACTACTTACTTACTTCCTTCCTTCCTTCCTTCCTTCCTTCCTTCCTTACTTACTTACTTACTTCTACTACTCTACTACTACCACTACCACTACCACTACCACTACCACTACTACTACTACTACTACTACTACTACTACTACTACTACGACTACGACTACGACTACTACTACTACTACTTTTACTTTCTCGGGGAGTCCTGCCAACTGGGACACGCTCCATCCTCATCAATCCATATCCTCGGAACGACTTTGGGCTCGCGTCCTCGAGCACCGTCGCCACAAAACCGAGCGCTTCGCTTCGGCAGTGTCGCTGCGCCAACAAATTGCTTCTCTTCCATGTTGCAAATCCCTGCAAGGCCACTGGGTTTGGATGCCAATTCTGCAGCTATACCGCTACTTACTGGCAATGTGGTGGGTGGGTGTTTCCATCGGCTGGGACGATTCAAGGTTGGCTTGGCAGCGCAAAGAGCTCAGTGGGCACTGCACCATCAACCCAATCAACCCTTATTGCAGGCAGTCGGTGAGGCGTTGGGGTTGCCTCTGATCACATAAAGATGAGACTTGCGCGGTATGTCATGGGCCCCTAAGTGTAGTAAGGGCGTGGTGCTCGCCGTCAACCCCGTGCTACTCGGCTCATGGACGAGTGCCCCCAGACTGGACAAGCTGGCGCAGTGGCTTACTCATGCTACTTTGGCTTGCAGGACCATGCTTGGGCCTTGGGCGTGACTGTCCAGCTTGACCAGTTGCAATGCACGGAGGTGCCCAGGGCGATGCTTTGACTGCCATGTTCGCGCTTCTCTCTGATTGTCTTCTATCGCGGTTGCAAACCAGCTTAATTACTACAATCAATAGATGTCAATCAATCGAAAACCAAATTACAGTACAGTATATAGAAACAAATGAACAAGCCATTGCAGTGCCACAATGTTGTTTGATTATAAAATGCTGTTGAGTTTGTCTGTGTATGCAAAAGTGAAATTGGCCAAACATTCCCCCCGATCTGGCACCTCCCTGATCTAGACTCGCTTTGTATTGGCTTTGATAAGCAGCAGCTCTCCAATAGAAATAGACTCATTACAACATCAATTTCAGTCTATCAGTCTAATTTCATCATGAGTACTACATGATGTGTCATTGAAATTGCAGGCAACCTCGACTTGCCGCACCTATTGAAAGAAAAACGATAAACAAAAAACAGAAAAATAACGGAGGCGTCTAACAGTCTATCAGGAGACAACAGGAGACAGTTGAATCGAAATCACCCTTTCCATTGAGTAAACCCCTCACACTCACAGGTAAACCTGTTGGGAAAATATGCGTCTTGCCCTCTCCTCATCTAGTTTCTTGCTGAGGTAGCCCAGGAGAACATCCTGCACGGAACCTACCTACGTGCCACAGAAACACAAGTCTCGCTGTCAAGCACGGTTCAATATTCCAAACATGTCCAGTCCCTACCGCAGTACGTTGCACGATCACTGTGTGTCTGCCTCCATGAGCAAAGCGCTGGTTGCTAAACTGTGAAAAATCTGGCTTCTCGAACCGAGACTATGCAACACAGACCTGTACAACATGTCAGATGTAGACTTCATGCAATTATGCGTGTTCTTGTATACATAAATGATGCGAAATGTCCGATTGTCATCGAACTCGTCATTGGCATGGTTTAGACATTGTAGACCTTTTGCTTCGGCGTGCGCACATACTAGTTTTGAAGCAAGTTCGGACAAACCGCGCACCCGAATTGCAGAGTAAATGGCTTTCACAGCACCACGCAATCTTTGGTGAACCAAATGCAGTGAATAGTACACAGCAAACCAAATTCATCTCCAAATCTGGTCTCGAAATGTCAGGCATTCAAAGCTAGGCGACGTCTTGTGAAACGCAAAGACGCAAAGAACATTCGATCAGAACAGCACTGCCATCCGCTGAATTTTCATGGGCGCAGCTAGCTTCTCAATGATGCCCTGCCAATGCACGCTTTGCCTTAGGAGCAGGAAGCCACATGGTATACTATCTGCACTCTCCTTTGGAGTCAAATATCTCGGGATTCTTACTCAACTACCCTTCATTCATTTCGAGCTACGGGACATCTGCTAACTGCTGTGAAGAGGCCTTCTAACAAGACATGCTGAATCTAAGCCTGTCAAGCTGAAGGCATTGGGAAGCTGTGCTACTTGCTTGCCTTCAACTCCGTCAGCTCTTTAAGTGGCTTTGCAAGCTTCAGATCCTTGGTGCCGAGCCATTGCATTGCATGCGCACAGGCTGATGAAACGCACGCATCCTTCAACTCTACCCCAAGCAAGCACAATGCTGCCTGAGGTATTGACTAAACGGCGACCTATCAGTCCGTCTGCACGAGCGGGAATATCTGCCATTGCATCCATGCCTTCAAACTTGCGAAGAAAAATGGAGAGTAGCAGTAGCAAGAAGTTACTAGTAACAAGGGCATCGCTACTAGGAGCAGGGACGCTACTAGGGGCTCCTGGCCTTACTACTAAGTTACTAGGAACAAGAAGCTACTAGTAACAAGGGCATCGCTACTAGTAACAAAGGTTTCTTTTGCTGTTGCTACTATATAGTAGCTTTCAAACAACCCCTAGTAACTCAAAGCTTCGCAGCTTCACCAACATTCACCATGCACATTTCATGCGGTCACAGCGGTCACGCAAGTGCGAAGATGGTCGACACGATGGAAAAACTTGCTACCGGTCCTAGTAGGGAATGGCCTCCAACCTAATATCGATGGCCTCCACATGCCTCCACCAAATAGCGTCCTTCCTACTAGTAGTAATGCCAGGAGCTACTAGTAGCTTCTTGCTCCTAGTAGCGATGCCCTTTGTTACTAGTGGGAAAAAAAAAGAATCTAAAGCAACCCTGCCTTGCCTATAAAGCTGAGTCAAATTGATGATGCCCGAGAATCCGATTCTGATGACAAACATGTCTGGTTCTCTAGCTCTTGATATCTCTTGATACATTAAAAGAATTTAATAACTAGCCAACAAACCTATCTTGTTGGAAAGCTGGGGCTCAAACCAATCTCGACAGAGTGGGTGGCCTCACAAATTCGATCGTCTCGAAAATCTATTCAGTAGGCACGAAACCATAAACTCCGACCAGTAAACTCGTTTCCCTTTGGGCACGGACTTGTCACACTGTCACATTGACTATCCAGAATTCCATTGATCTCTGAGGCAAATTTGCAGGATCACAACCATTCTGTATAGCCTGTGACCGCTGAGGCTTTGCACAGATTTGGCCAGCTCTTCAGCCTCCTCTGCAAATCTCAAAAGGTCCTGTCAATCTGCATCAGTCTGTGGCAGACATGGACACTTGGTAGTATTGCAAGAAGCGGAACGCTTAAGCAGTTCCACTGCGGTCGAAGTGTGCACCGTCCACAGATGCAAATTTGGATCATGTCCTGCTCTTGTCACGTATATATATATATATTGATTCTAGATGTCTTCTTCTTCTTCTTCTTCCTTTTTTTTGCTCTGTCTGTTGCCTCGGTTGTCTAAGTTGTCTTTTTTGTGTTGCCTTTTTTGCTATCCCCAGATGTCTGAATTGTTCATGCTTCCTGAACTAATTGCACAAAACTTCAAGCGCTAGGAGTCTAGGAGTAACAACTGTTCTCCACATGTCAATAGTGAGACTGTCCAAGTCTCGTCTTGGATCATTCCTGGATTCTTGGTTTGGCCTGTTATTCTTGTGGCAGAGTTCCTAGGTTGGCCGGGCCTTGCTCAAAACGACATTTACACCCTTGTAGAAACTTCAAAACACACGCCTGAAGGGGAAAACGTCGTACACCACCCTTACAAAGATACGTACCTCTAGTCTTCGTGGCAGGTCTGCCACCCAACAAACCACCAGTTGGTACGGTATACCAACGTTGCCGCCGCATACCTGCTGCTATTCTGATCACGTCATGCTACTCTGAAAGACGTTGGTTACGCTTTGTCGCATCTATTGCCAGGATTGTTTCTTCCTGTCCTTTAGCTTGGTATCTTTGTCCGAGAATCCAATTTGGAAAAAGCTCTAGCAATGGCAAAGAATAGTTGAAGTGGTAATCGTAGTGGTAGTAGAAGCGGCTTCTGCTAAAAGCAGGATTAGCAGGAGGGATTAGCAGGAGGATTGGCAGGATGCGGGGAATATGTAGTAGCATTGTAGTCCTCTCCAGTCAGAAGACAGGGTATCTGCAGAAGAAGAACGACGACGACGACGACAACAACAACAACCACCACAACCAAAAGAAGCACAGCAACAGCAAAGCACCTCGCCTAACAGAAGCCTGACAGTAACGATGACAGTACTCATGCAACTACAAAGGGTTCGGATGTTATATTGTAATTATGTTTTCTAAATCTGGTATTGTGTTTTCTTGCTCTTGGCTGCTCTTTTATAAAGGAAAAGGAAAAGGGACAAGGTTGCAATCATCTGGATAAAACCAATACCTTCTTACATCTGGCAGCTGTGCCTGGGACTTCACATTCCTCTGATGATGGACTAGTGAGTAACATCCACCCATCAGAGCAGAACAAAGGTTGAAATGGTCAGCCGGGTTGGCCAAAGCCACAACTAATGCAAGCACGATCGTTGCCAACTCTGGGATTCTTTAGTCGGTAGGTGTAGTGACCAGGATAAAATAGAAAATATTTAATCACTATCATATCTTGATATATCTTGGGTATATCACAACATTTCCAATTCCGTGCAACAGTGAAAAAGCCCAACCCAACCAAAGCCACGAAAAGCCAAAGCCAACAGAAGCCAAAGGCCAACACAAGCCACCCAAAGCCAACCGAAGCCATCAAAGGTCAACAGAAACCACTAAAAGCCAACAAAAGCCAAAAGCCAACAGAAGCCACCAAAAGCCAAAAGCCAACAGAAGCCAAAAGCCAACACAAGCCACCAAGCCCCAACAGAAGCCACCAAAAGTCAACAGAAACCACCAAAAGCCAACAAAGGCCAGCAAAAGCTGCAAGCCCGCAGAAGTAAAAGGCAAAACATGTCAAAACAAAAAAATAATACCAAAATCAGAGTGTGCCCCGGGCGGGTGGAACAGTTCCAGTTCCAGTTCCAGTTCCACGTCGTTCAACACAGGAGACTGGGGAGGGGGGAGGGGAGTTCCAGTTCCAGTTCCAGTTCCACGTCGTCCAACACAGGAGACTGGGGAGGGGGAGGGGAGTTCCAGTTCCAGTTCCAGTTCCTCATCGTCCAAGAAGGGAGACTGGGGAGGGGGGAGGGGAGTTCCAGTTCCAGTTCCAGTTCCACGTCGTCCAACAGAAAAGAGAGGGGGAGGGGAGTTCCAGTTCCAGTTCCTCATCGTCCAAGACGGAAGACGGGAGACTGGGGAGGGGAGTTCCAGTTCCAGTTCCAATTCCTCATCGTCCAAGAAGGGAGACTGGGGAGGGGGGGAGGTTCTTGAGGGGGCGGTTCCGGTTCTACTTCCAGGTCGAAGTCTGGATCCAATTCCCAATTTCGTACCAGTGTCAGGTATTTTTCCGGGATGGGGTGGTCCGGTTGTAGTTCTCCTTCTAGTTCCAATTCAAGTTCCAGTTGCGCTTCCGGTTCTAGTTCCTGTTCCACTTCTAGTTCCAATTCCGGTTCTAGTTCTAGTTCTGGTTCCAGTTACCAATCTCAGGAGAATGTCGAATTTGTTTGTTCGGGGGGGGGGAGATGGAGTTCCAGTCCAGTTCCACTTCCAGTTCTGGGTCCGAGTCTGGAAGTGATTGCCAATGTCAGTTTAAGGTTTATTTCTCTTTTCGGGGAGGGGGAGTTCCACTTCCAGTTCCAGTTCGAGTTCCAATTCCAGTTGCACTTCCAGTTCTGAGTCCGAGTGTGGAAGTGATTGCCACTGTCAGTTAAATGATGTTAAATGTCGGTGTGTTGTTGTTGTTGTTGTTGTTGTTGTTGTTTTCGCGGGGGGGGGCGAGTGTTCCAGTTCCAGTTCCACTTCCAGTTCGAAGTTCCTCTCTGGGTCCGAGTCTGGTATGGACGTGATGGCCAATGTCACTTGAATGTCGATTAATTTTTTTGCCGGGGGGGGGGGGGGGGTTCCAGTTCCAGTTCGAGTTCCAGTTCCAGTGGGGTACACTATGACCAAAATAAAATGAACAATAATTCCAAAATAATATTAATTAATATACCCTCCAACTACAAATACATACTGTACTACAGCAGCTATACACTTATATACGTATAAATACATTTGCCATTGCTGCTAGGTTGGAGGCCATCGCTTCTAGGTTGGAGGCCATCGCTAGTAGGTTGGAGGCCATCGCTAGTAGGTTCCTTTTGCTATTAGGCTGGAGTGATATTGAGTGACTGATCTTATTAATCAAACATGCCATTGAATGTCCATAGATGTCCTGTCTCTTTTGGGGTGGGATCACGTGTGTTATTGCAAGAACGTGTAGTCATTTGGGGATGCCGCACGCCTGATTATGTGAGGTGGACTTTACTCACTATAAGCGAATGTTTCATCTCGTTCAAGTTAAAATCATATTGCGGATGATCCTGTTCTCGTTGGTGGATGGATCTTTTTGTGCAATTCCCTCGTATGTTTGTGTTCCGCAAAAACTATGTTGTGGCTCAAAAAGTAAGAAAGCGATTAACACCATGGCTCAACTAAAAGTCCTGCCCGTGATGACAACTTCAACTTTGTCAACACGACGGCTGCTGCTCCTGCTATAGTACTCAGATTACGGCTAGGAATATTAACACCACCAAGTATTTTGACAAGAGCGACAACTCACGAGATTGCTTTGCTGGTTCTGGTTGGCAGTAGTGACATTTGTGTTTGCACAAGCAGCATAAGGATCATAAGATAATTATAAGCCTTGTCAATCTTGTCAAACACATCCACAGGTGACAGGGCTTCTGCACGCAAGCAGAAGGAACTGCACATTCGCATCGAGTTCTCCAGTGGTCAGGTTGACAACCCAGCGTCAGGAACGAGTTTACATAAACTCTCCACGCGTTCCCGCATCTGAGCACACGACTGTTGTCTCCTCTTTCGTAGCTTCAAAGTCCTGGCCAAACATGACAGGTTACTGCGAAGTTCACCTTTGCAGGCACTGGCCCCGAGCAGCCATCTACTGAGAAAACTCCAGTCTACGAAATACCAGTCATCCCACTGTGGTTCCGAGTTCCATACTGGTGGACATGTACAAGTCTACACATACTTTATACTCTTTTGAATCCTAAGCAGTTATCCTAGCCAAACAAAGCAACCCTGCAGCCAAGGAAACTATCACAAATACATTGAAGTACGTAGTGACACCTATCTGAAAAAGCGGCTTGCTCTACTTCCCTCTTGCAAGCTGGCCTTCCTAGCGGCCCGAGCAACACTCCGGGCTCCCAGTGCTGCCTCGCCTCGTCAAACATGGGTTCCCTATTGCGTTTGACTTCTTTCGCATTTAAACCTACTAGTAGCTTCTTGTTACTACTAGTCATGGCCTCCAACCTAATAGCGATGGCCTCCACCTGGTAGCTTCTTGTTACTACTAGTATTGGCCTCCAACCTAAAAGCGTGGCCTCCACCTAGTAGCTTCTTGTTACTAGTAGTATTGGCCTCCAACCTAAAAGCGTGGCCTCCAACTAGTAGCTTCTTGTTACTAGTAGTAATGGCCTCCAACCTAATAGCGATGGCCTCCACCTGGTAGCTTCTTCATACTACTAGTATTGGCCTCCAACCTAAAAGCGTGGCCTCCACCTAGCAGCTTCTTGTTACTAGTAGTAATGGCCTCCAACCTAATAGCGAAGGCCTCCACCTAGTAGCTTCTTGTTACTAGTAGTAATGGCCTCCAGCCTAATAGCGATGGCCTCCACCGAGTAACTTCTTGTTACCATATAGTAGTACTGGCCTCCAACCTAATTGCGATGGCCTCCACCTAGTAGCTTCTTGTTACTAGTAATAATGGCCTCCAGCCTAATAGCGATGGTTTCACCTAGTAGCTTCTTGTCATTAGTAGTAATGGCCTCCAGCCTAATAGCGATGGCCTCCACCTAGTAGCTTCTTGTTACTAGTAGTAGTGGC